GCCACGCCCCACATCTCCCCCGCGCTTTTCCTTTTACCCGCTGGAATCTCCCCAGGAATTCCTCCGCGAATCTAATAGTGAAATCCATTAGCCGTAAGAATTAAGGGTGTTTGTGTTACGCGTCTATCCGTTGAGTTAAGACGTTCCCCTCGCTATGGGAAAATGGCGCCGTTCTGGTTCTTGCTGGAATGAAAATGAAACGCACGCGAGAAGTATGGGAAGATCACTTGGGAAGGAATGCACGAAGAAAAAGGAAAGAAGAATTAGACTGTCGCCAGAGCTGTATTTCCTTCTAATTCCTATTTTCTTAGTTGAGTGTGTGTTGCATTAATAATTTTACATTCACTAACACACGAATTTACTCACCAAGTGATATAGCACGGTATCATTATAATTCAGTGCATGACTATTAAACTGGTTTATAATAACCAAATTTGATGAAGTTGCTCAATATATTTTAGGAGCAATAATTTGTAAATGTTTAGAGAAAATCATTAATATTCAACGAAACAATGTTTTGGTGAGAATTATTTTAATTATATCACTGTGCCGCATGTTGTCACACAATAGAATTTTCACGTAGGGACAATATAATGGCACCTACTTAAACTGTCATAAATCAGAAGTCTCTCGAGCAGATAAAGGAAAAAGGAAAATTTTTAATTCGTTTCTGTACACATTGAAACCCAGTCGAAAATATTATATTTTAATTTGTTTTGCAATACATACAAGAAAAAGAAGTATCCACGAAGAGGTAATAGCAGTATGGTAACTTCATTTTAAAACTCCAATACCGCGCCTCTCCGCGCCACACGTTCGTCATAAGGGTCGAAGTTCACATGGTGGCTCAAAGAGAAAGACCTCCGTCAGCTGCGCTGCACATGCAGCCCCGGGGCCCCGAGGCCCTCCCCGCACGCGGCCGCCCGCCCTCGCCCTTTGTGCGAAGGGATTCGCGCAGCGCGCTTTAATCCGCGCACGCCAGCGCTCACTCGGGCTGCGCCGGCCGCGAGGCACGCAGACGCGCGGGAGAGAGAGAGAGAAAGAGAGACCGGAAGAGAAGGAAACAGTCGCCAGAGACCCTAGACCCAAAAGGAAAAATCGCCGTCGAAAGATAACTGGAATTGAGGATACCTGGAGATCACTTCACAGGTGGTAGTACAACTCATCAGACCAACACCACGATGTCTGTGAGTGTTCAGTGGAAAATGCAGATATTTGGCGGGATTAAAACACATAAGAAAGAACCACTCGAACTTACTACAAAGGTTGACTCGTCTCGAATTACACAACTGATTCTGGAATGTCGACCTACCGGAAGCCAGAGACGAATTTCTTTATAGATGACACGACCTGCAATTGTTGCTACAGAAATGAATTTTAGAACTCTTGAAAGGACGAATAAAATATTGTGGGCGATGTAATAAGTGTTTGTGTATATACAAAGATCAAAAATGAATATTTGGAATTTGCTGTTGAAAACTCCAGTAGCTAATTCTGAAAAATAAAACTTAGCGTTTTGTTTTCCTGGGACAGAGGTTAAAGTGAATTAGCGATTCTATATGAGAAGTCTGCAGACCCGAGGTTGCAAGTCGAGTATTCACGGTGGTGGATTTACGAAGCCGCTTA